GCACTTTAAATGCCGTGGGGCTCCTGTCGTTAGACGTGGAGACGCGAGGGTCGCCCCCCCTTGCCCCACCACCTCGTGTGTGTGGAGAAGTTTACCTTACCTTACCTTACCTTTTAACGAGTGGTTTCTCCCGGCCGGCCGCCTCCTGACACGCCCACGGACCGAGCCCAACGAAAAAGTCAGGTGCGCCGCATGCTCCCTGGCCCCTGCTCGCCCCTGCTCGCCCCTGCGAGCCAGTCCCGTGCCCAGGTCTCGGGTTGACGCATGGGGTCACACTCCCGCGAAACTCGTGAACTAGCCGGGGCAGTCGGACGCACTGACGGAGAAGGGGCAACTCCGTGCACTGACGGTCGGCCGCCAGAAAACACGCCTGCGTGGATCGCGTCACACCAATCCTCGCTACCCAACGCGGCCAAAGGATATCCACCCGAGAACCTCGAGAGTGAGAAAAAATAAGTTGAGCCTTGGCACCAGCCGGGCAGTGGGTTTGGCCCTGGCATCAGCCGGGCATGTTGTTGATTTGGCCTTGGCATCAGCCCTGGCAGGCGGGCACGCGGGACATGCACAGGCGCCAAGGGGCGCAGAACCGACCTAACCCGTCGGAGGTGGGGGGAAGGGAGTACCGCCGGGTTCCCCTGCGTGAGCGCAAGAGTAACCCCAAAAGGGCTGAAGATGAGCGGTGCGCGCAGGGGTCGGCGTGACGGGGCGAGGGACGCGCCGCGCGGGGCGCCGCCTCACCGGCCCAAGTGGCGCAGGGCGAGGCGGCGAGAACCGAGCGAGCACGTCCTCGTGAGCCCCGTGGCTCCAACCAGGCCCTTCCTTTTTTGAGCAGGTGTGACGCCGCGCGAGCGACGCTCCGAGATCGCCCGAGATAGCGCGGCGCGGCGGTGGGTGAGGTGGGGTGGGGTGAAGTGACGTGGCGTGGAGCTCCGGGATTGCGCGCGATAGCGCGAGATCGCCCGAGATCGCGCGGCCCGAGATCACGCGGCGCGGCCCGGGGCGGAGTGGATGGGTTGGGAGCGAGGGGGCGGAAGTGTTCAGTGCGGTAGATCGGTCAGTCGGGGCGCGTGAGCCGGACTTGGGAGCCGCGTACGTCCATTTGTCTTCGCCCTTTACTTGTCCATTTCGGACTCCCCTCTGTTCTGTCGACGCTTCCGCCGCAATTCGGATGGCTATTCTCTGATCACTTCTGTTCCATTCTAGCCCTGCCTCGTCCCATCGCTCGTGCCTCCCCGCAAACCATTGTGCGGTCGTCGCCTCTGGCTGTCCGTTTAACTCGCCTAGTAGCTGTTCGTAGTCCTCTTTATCTGTCTTGCCCCGCAACTCATGGACCCTCGATGCCTCAGTCCACGTCATCCATCCGTCGCCCTTCTCGTTTGTCACGTCGCTCCACCATACCAATCCGACCTCCGCGAGCCTCTTCTTGTATGTGCACCGTCGGGCGCCTCGCCTCCACATGGTCATGCTGTCTTCCCATAGTCGTGGGCCCCGCACTGTTTCCTGTTGGCCAGTCATCTCCCACAGGTCATCATCGAGGCCGTCTTTCATCTGCATCGACGTCCTCATGCCTCGTAGTCCTGCCCGATTCCGCTGTAGGTAGTATGCCTCCATCAGGTTTCCTTCATTTAGTTGCTCGTCGGGTATGAATGTCGTGTCCCATTCGAGTGGGTGTTTGCCGCGGCACCCCAGTCTCCATGCCGTCCTCGCCAGCGCATATCTCGCGACCATCCCCGCGGGTCGTCCCTCTGGTGCCGAGAGCATGTTGTCGATCGTGCTCATCCAGCTCGCCGTGGCTACCTGATACGTGTGCATGCTCCCTTCACCACCATCTTCCTCCGCCGCGTATAGGTGTGCCTTCGGGTATGCTGTTCCTGCTCCCTGTCGCTCTATCGCGTCTCGCCTCGCAACTTCGATGGCGTCGCAGTCCTCCATCGTCATGACGGTCCCTGCTTAGTCGCGCGCCGGAGACGACTCGACGCCGCTGAGATCGGAGATCAAGCTCTGACAGGTCGCACGTCGCTCCTTTGACGCCGACGTGACCCACCCGTGCAGATCACATCAGGACACGGTCTCGACGCGCTCGGTACGACGCCTGCGACCCGTCTCGGGTCAGGTTGCACGACGCTCATCGCGCCTGCCAGCGATGCCGTGCAGGTTGCCACGACGAGGTCGAGCACGCTTCTATACACTCGCCCAGCCTTCCTTTCCATCCAATTAGGCAGCCTGGGAACGATGGCGGTCAGAGGCAAAGCCTACGAGGGGTGGTGGAACCACATGTCACGGCTTGTACTGCCGGCTCGACCCCACGATAGCCTCCGAAGGCTGACTTCCCCCATTTGTGTACAAACCTCAAGCGATGAACGCACTTGATCTTTTCCCTCCAACGTTTCGCCCGCACCGCGGCCCCCATATCTTGCCGCAACGCACCGTGGGTCGCTCCCGGTAGAGCGTAGTAAGACGCCGCGCGTCCCCGCCCTTCCCTTCCCAAGGTGATCTCTCGGGCCGCGCCGCTCTCCCCCCGCATCTCCCCCTCGGCCGCCCCGCCCAGGAACCGCAACCAGGAATTGGCGGACCGGCGCCGAGCACATGGACATGGCCCGCACCTACACCCCCCCCTCCGGCCCAACTTCCGGCCCCGCCCCGGAAGGAATCCGGCGGGGACCGGCAGCCTGCCCCCGCCGCCGCCAACTCAAAAGAGATAGGTCGCGGCTCGGTTCTCGCACGGAGAACATGTGCTCCACGGGTGCTCTCGCTAAGAGTGCTGCCTCTCACGCGCCGGGCAGCGGGGAGGGGAGGGGGAGCCCGAGCCGCTCAACGGTCTGCCGCGCCTCCTCCATCGAGATCTCCTCCTCCTCCTCCCCGTCACGCAGCCGCCACGCCTGCTGCCTGTCCGCCATCCACCCGACGCCCTCGCCGACGGGGGCATCCTGCTTGAAGAAGCACGAGTCCACGTCGCCGTCGGCGTACCGGTAGACGCCGCGCCCCTCGTACATACCCGCCTTGTACTCGCCGTCGTAGACCTCGCCGTCGGCGTACCGGTAGACGCCGCGCCCCTCCCTCTTACCCGCCTTCCACTCGCCCTCGTAGACGTCGCCGTCGGCGTACCGCATGACGCCGCGCCCCTCGCGCTCTCCCGCCGCGTTGCGCTCGCCCTCGTACTCCGCCTCCACCTTCTCGCCCGAGTCAACCATCGCGTTGTTCACCTTGAGCGCGTAGGCACGGTACAGCTGGACGACAACCGGCTTGTCGCCCTTGCCCGTGAAGGAGGCCGCCTCGATCGCGGCGATCACGCGCTTGTTACGCGGCCCCATCCCCTCGTCGGCGCGGTCCTCCATCTCCGCCACGCGGGGACCCGCGCCGTCGATCTCGACGACCTTGGGCGGAAGCCGCTCTTCCAGCAGCTTGCCCAGCCCTGGGAAGTAGGCGAGGCGCGCGAGCGCCTCGGTGCTCACCGCGCTCTCAAACGTCGTCCACCTGCCAGCGGAGAGGGGGGGGGGGGGGGGGGGGGGGGGGGGGCCCCCCCCCCGCTGTGGGGAAGGGGGGCCGTTTAAAAAAAAAAAAAAAGGAACCCCCCCCGGGAACCCCCCCCTTGAGAAAAAGGTTTCCCCCCCCCCCTCCTCCGCCGCCGCGTGCGTTGGGAAGCGCACGCGCCACCGGCCCTCCTCGAAGCGCGCGTTCTCAAACGCCCCGAGAGCACTGCGCAGCTCTGCCTCGGCGCCGGCGCCGTCGAGCCCGCCGCCCTTCTCGACGAGGATGACCACCTCGCCGTCCAGCTCCGCCGGGCGGGCTGGCACGGAGCGGTGGCGGATGACGATCGTGCCGAAGAGAGAGGCGTAGACGTCGCCCATGACCTGCCGGAGGGTGAGAAGAGGGGAGGCGTTAGGAGAAGCACGGGCATGTGTGCGGGCGAGATAGTGGGGAGTAGAAGAGCGGCGGGCGCAGAGGGCGGCGGGGAGAAGGCGGCGCGGACCTTGAGCGCTTGATAGAAGAACTCGTCCTCGGCCGCCGTCCTTGGCTTTTGCGGGAGCGAAGAGAAGCTGCGGAGGGGAGGCGCACGGGGGGCGGGGGCGGCAGAGTGTGAGAGAAGCGTCAAGTGAGGGAAAGGCGCAGAGGGAAGCCTGTCCTCCCACGCAGCGCAGCCACTGGGCCCGGGGTGGGTCTGGGGCGGCGGCGCACTCCCAGAAGAGGCCCGTCACGTGCTCGCCGAGCGGGTGGCGCAGGAAGCGCCGCACGTTCGCCAGATACTCTCCAGTCACGTCGGGGTGGTCCGGCGAGGCCCAGCCGTACGTCAGCCCGGCGACTTCGCGGCTCAGCGAGCGCAGCGCCGCAACAGCCTCCTTCGGCGTGAGGAAGATGCGGATGCCTCGCTTCTTCTCCATCCGCTCCAGCTCTTGCCGGCGGAGGAGTTTGGGCAGCACCGCCTCGGAGCCGTCGGCGCGCAGGAACTCGGTGCGGAGCAACTTGATGGCGCCCGAGCGGAGGGCGGCGACGAGCTGCTTGTCGAGGGCCGCCAGCAGCGGGATGCCCTTGTGGTCGGCGGCGGTAAGCGCAGCTGACGTACCGGCAGCATAGCCCTTCTCCTCGTCCTCGGCATCGTCTGTCGCTATCCTGTCGTCAAGATCGAGCTTGCCGACCGGCTGCTCCGACGTAAGCTGCCTCTCCTGCGCGTATTGCTCTCTCTGCTCCTCTTCCAGCTCGTCCGGTTTGCTTTCGCCGCAGCCCATGGGCGTGCGAGCCGCCAGGGCGTGTCAGCAATCGTGCTCACAAAGACCGCCGCGAGTTACGCGCAATTTCTTTTCAGCACACACACACACACGAGAGAGAGAGAGAGAGAGAGAGACTCTCTCTCTCTCACACACACACACACACACACACACAGACAGACAGACATCCACGCACTAGACACACACACGTTCGAACGGCTGCGGCGCTCCTGCTCTGAGGCCACCCACAACAAGGCGTGTATTTCCCCGCCCGCTCGCCGCTCCCTCGCCCCCTGCCTCTCAGACCGCCACCTGGTCGTGCAGCAGCCTCGCGAGGCCGCGCGCGCGCGGCCGCGCGCGCGCGGCGCTGCGACCGATCGCAAAAAGAATTCTGTCCCAAGCCTCTCCAAAGAATTCTACCGACATGTGTCGCAAGTAGCAGTCTCGATAGCAGTCTCGAGCGGTGAGCCGCCTGATAAAAATGACTTTTTGAGCGTCCGTCCGCAGGCGTATTTTGTGTTCCGAGGCGGTGCCCGGTGCCGAGCGCAGGGAGTGCCCAGTGCACCCACCCACAGGTCGGTTGTCAGGCCTTCAGTTCACCTCTCCTAGCACCCGGTTTGGTGTGGTGACCTACATTACGAGGTCGAAGGTCCACACACACTTGCCCCCTGGCGATCTGGCAGTGGGCACTCAACTTTTTATTTGGGCGGGGGGAGGGTCCTCTGTTTTCTTTTTGTGGCCGCAAAAAGAATTTTACAACAAAACTTCCTCGCACTAGGCACGGGACTGGCGCGCACTGGCACTAACGCAGGTACACCACGGCTCAAAAAAAGAAATATGCCAACCAACAGTGCGTACAGAACTGAATAATGGCTACTTCGATTCGCATGTTCACTGCTGCGGTGTGTGCCGCGGGAGCGCGGCGGCGAGGTGGGGTGAGAATCTCTAGGGTACCATACTTGACCCCCCCCCTTGGCGCCACGTCTTTTCGTGCCAAACAGCGCGATCTGGGGCGGGGCATGGGGTGGGGCTACATGCGCTCGCGGGGCTCCCCGACGGGGCGGGCCTCGTGCTGATGGACCCAGCCGAGGTGCCCGATCAGTTGGAGCCGCGCCGACGCGCTGCGCGCGACCACCAGCCAGCTTTCCGGCCGGGCCGAGAACGGTGTGTCGAGAAAGCTGACAGTCAAAGTAGTTTTTCCCTCTTTTTGAGCGCGGCTGCTGCACACCCAGCCCACCAGTGATAAGAGAGGCACAGGATCCACCCCGTCGCGAGCTTGACCCCAGCAGCTCAGCGCTGCTGCTGGGGGGGGGTCCCGATCGGGGCAGACTGCACAACACACGTCGATAGATCAGTTTTCAGCTAAAGAAATTTGTGGGGGATGCAGCTCAAGAGCTCAGAGTTGGACGGCCTGTCCCAACGCGACACGCAACACGAGCGCCCGCACAGGGGCAACGGTGAGCAAGCCGACGCTGCACGCGGCGCCGAGGCTCATCATCAGCGCGGCGAACGGGAACGCCTCGCGCTCGTCGCTCAGACAAAGCACTGCGCCGCCGTGGGCGGTGCCGGAGAGCGCCAGGCCGCGCGCGGCGGGGTCGCGCACACCCAGCCGTGAGAGGAGGGGCTTGCCTATGGGAAAGGGGTCCGAGGAGGATCCGAGACAGTTCCTAGAGGGGAGGTGCGAGGGCAACGGCCCAGGGGCTAGCCGAGCGGGATGGCGACGAGTCCGGTGAGGAACGCGGCCAACATGCCTGACCATCAACACACCGAAGTCAGG